CACTCAAGACCGTGTTGGGTACAGAATCAGCTTTTGATACCCTCTGAGGATGAGGGAGCTTCCCTACCATGGGCTTTGTCAGGCTGTTGTATCATAATTCTCATCTGTGTTCTCTCTACCTGGCATGACTACACTTTAGGTGACCTCCTCCAAGGCATTTTCTTGGCTTCCACTGATCAAAATGCATCGCTTTCTACCCCTCTACTCCTGAAGCACTTTACTGATACCTTTATTATCCACATATTGCAGATGTTACAATGTTGTGAATTAGAGTGACTATGGACGCTTTTGCCTTTGCTTTCAAATTTAGATTCAAGACGGTGGGGACTAGGGGACTGGCATACAATAGCTGTTAAATGAATATTTGTTGACTAAATGAATAAACTTTTAGAGAATAGGAACCGTGACTTTCTAATCTTTGGATCTACCGTAATCTTTACATTAAAAGTAAATCAATAAATGTCTTTTAAAATGTTCATTTAAATACAACTCATGTCCTAAAACTTTTGTAGGAACAGCTTTTTAGAGATCACAGTCTAAATATGTCATACAGTATTATAGCTATTATAGCTCTATCCATGTTCATTTCCAAACTTTCAAATCGTGTCACATAGTTCATCTGATTTGTCAAAGATGATATATGGAAAGTCTTATAGAAACATGTGCACAAACACGCATGTGCACACACACATAATTTTTAAAAAATACTTTTCTTCACTATTATGGGGAAAATATTTGAAATCAACCCTAACTCTGAAAGCTGAAAGGTATACTGCCATACTCATAATGATTTTTCCTACTGTTCTGGGATTCTTTCCTTGTGTGGGACCAGGACAGTAGTTTATTGATGCACATCTTGTCTCTGCTATGCCAGAGACCAGGTTTTAAACTTTAAAATTCTCATCCATACTAGGTTTTCAATAATTGCTGAGCAATGGAGTTGGTATCCTATAGGAAAATAAAAGAGCTGTTTCCACATGAGCTTTTGTATGGTCTGTTGGGGTTATTTATATTTTACAAACGAGTATTCATTTCTGTCTGGGTGTGACCTCTTTTCCAGGGAGGTTCCCTTGAAGGATGCAAAGGAATATGCTGAATCCATAGGTGCCATTGTGGTTGAAACAAGTGCAAAAAATGCTATTAATATCGAAGAGCTCTTTCAAGGAATCAGTAAGTACCTGAAAGTGTGTTTTTAGCTTTGCTTACATTGTAATGCCTCTGACAGTCAAAGGACGAAATCATAAAGCTCTAAAGTAGAGCTTTTCTTCTGTGTGAATTTGATGTGATGCATCTGAAACCTATGAGCATGTGGTTGTCAATACTGGCCTATATTATGTCTCCCAATTCTAGATTTTCATAATTCTGTGCTTTAACCTGGCAGTTCTGTGTTTTATGATCCAAAATGAAGTAATTTGCAAAACAAAATTATTTCAATTAGAAAATTATGTATTCTATACATAATTCATGGTTATTCCTCATGAATAACCTTTATCCAAGAGCATTTATATGCAGGGGTGGAAAAATTAATTTTCCTTCTACTCTTCTAAAATCTTCTGGCTAGACTAATAATCAAATTGACATGAGACAGATTAATGAAAAAAATGACCAGATTTGTTACATATGCACATACGGGGCTTCATAAGAATAGGGGACCCAGAGACAGATCTGGCAATTGAGGCTTATATGCCATCTTGAGCTAAGGAGAAGGGGAAGTTGTAGTTTGGAACTACAAAGGACAGGAGGGCAATTCACATGGAAATGGAAAAGCAAATGTTTGGTAGATAAATGTTTGTTGGGCCATCTTTAACAATGGGACACAGAGTGGACTTTAATCAAACAGGCCTTGTTAGGTTCCCTTCTGTCTATCACATACTAGTTCATATTAAACTATAGTTATCTATGATGATAGCTCCCTTCCTGGAGCAGGTCCTCTATCTAAATTCTTTTAGGCACTTTGGGGGAAGGTCAAAGTTTCTTCCTGAGTCTTTATTTTCTTAATAATCAATCAATAGCCCAAAAGGCATGTTTTGGGGTGGCAAATTCTGCTTTCCCTTGTATGTTAGTATGTTGAGGGGAAGAGAAATAAAATAGAAGTTATAGAAAACTGAAGCCACCCCTTAAACCGAATGACTCTAGGCAAATGAAATAAGAGAACCTTTTAGTATTTTCTTTTGCCCAGTGATTGCCAACAAAAACAGTGTCTCCATCCCATGTGACCTGAAATTGGGAATTGGGTGGAGAGTCAATATGTAAAGATTTTTCTCTTTTCTGATCGGCTAGTTAATGGAAGGTGATGGCTCCCTTTTTCATCTCCAGTTCTGGGCAATAGTACGCTTCTCTTTCTTTATGCTGCTTCCCCATGAATAACCTTTATTCAAGAGCTGTTTGCCAGCTGATGGCCAGATCTTGCCTTCATAACCTTTCTGGTAATTATTTTCTGTTCTGGGTCCCTTCAGAGAGTGACCTGCTGAGAGCTGTCTTAGGAAACTGTGTCCTGAGACATCTTTGGAGTGTAATTGGGGACTTTGCAAGAAGTATGTGTTTAGTGAGGTGCGGAGACTCAAAGTCCTGGGGTAGTCACCTTAGGAAAAGTTGAACTCCTGAACAGTTGTCAGTTCTTGTCAAACATCTTGGCTCCAGATAGTTCCAGGAGGGAATTCCAGAAGGGAAACTGATAGTGTGATCTCGCTGAGGTCATTCTTGGCGATGCTCTCAAAGTCAGAGGGGCCATCACTTCCCAGAACAGATTTGATTTCCTTTTAACTGGTTCATTACTTCAGACTCTGAGAACCCACAGCAGGGAATGTTCTGTTTTGTTTCTTTTGGCTTGATGGGGAATTCACTGGAGATGGGGAACTCTGACGGTTACTTGAGCGATAAAGAAATGCACAGAAGAATGCAGCTAAGCCCTGCACAGCCTGGGCCCCCTTGTTCGCTGGGTCTACACCACCTTTCCTTTCTGCCTCCTTCAGAAGGATTCGTTTTCCTATCATTTCACGCTCTCAGCAGAATAGTATTCTCCAAGCTCATTGACCGGAGTGGTTGAACTCTAGAGTGCTGGGCTGTGATTTTATGTTGGAAACCCCTTATTCCCAGATGCCAGTTCCCTCCCGAAAATGGCTGTGGGTGCAGCGCTCTGCTGTGAAGAAACTGCTCAGCTGTGCTCTGTAGCTGTATAACTCTGGGTGACATCTGAACTTGAACTCATTCCATTAACCTCATATTTCCTCAAATTAAGCTCATTCTTTTCTGTTGGCAGTTGGCTTTCCTGGTAGGTTAGGCTGATTGTACAGCTATTAAATATTTGTTTCCGCTAATGATTTAATAAGTAAAGTTAGATAGCTCCTGAGGACTGTGACAGCCCCGCCTTTCCTTTCTGCAGCTCTTTGTGTTTTCTAGAGCCCTCTCCCCCACATAAGCCTCTGAAAGGTTGACAGTGCAGACTGCAGGGCCCTGCAAGGAAACACAGTGCTCTGCATACCTGAAATTTAACTTGAGGTTTCTGCATGAGCTAGGAGACTTTCTGAGGTTTATGCAATTCATTATTAAAATAAAAAATGAAATAAGGACCTCAAAGAAGAAAACAACCTAAGCAGGAAGAATTCATATCTCAGCTTGAAAGATATTTCTTTGTATGGTCCAGCCAGTATAAATTCCTTCAGGCATACATGAGGTCTTTGTTTCTCAAAGGGATGGGGACTTTGAATAAGGAATTCCTGAGATTCTAGTGGTCTGTTCATTTAAGAGAAAACAAGTCTTTTACTTAAAGCACTGGGTGATTATGGCTTCAAATAATTAATTTCTATAGAAGCCGTACAATACTTGTATCACTTTATCTTCCATGTCAAATAAACAACTGTTTGTTTCTGTTTTATTATGCTTCGTTCGGTTGTAAGTTCCTTAGCAAAGAAGCCTGTAAATATCCAGCTTGGGTCAGGATCTCTCTCCACATACATACTGTAAGCGCTGGTGCCTTCCCAGCCTCTTTACGCCTTCAGGTGAATTTCTTCAGAATGGGATGTTGTAGCCTAACCACAGAATAAAAGCCCTTTTAAAAAGGTGTGCTTAAGTAAAATTCATTCATATTGACTTGGATGAAGAGACAAATGTTTCTCTTTTACATTCTCAGAGTGTTCATAAACCAGAAATGAGTCAACTGTGTTTTCTGAACATGAGTTAATATGCTTTCTAACTGGAAATTGTTTACCAAAATGTTATCTATTTTCAAAGACTGGTGTTACCCTGGAAATGATTTAGGCTCTGGCCTGTTTGGAATGGTTTGTGCACAGGCCCCATGTAGCGCAGTGTCCTCTAGGCGCCCTTTTGTAAATCACATTTTTGATCCTACTTTACCCCACTGCCTGGAGCTAATTCTCTTCCATGTATTTCTACCCAGCATTGTTCATTTTTCTTTCTTGGATTTTTATACCTTTGAACATTAAAAGTTTCCTCTTTGAGTTGTAATATAAGAAGAATTCTTGGCCAAGAAAATTGTTACACATTTGAGTTTTTAAATTGGCGCAAAAAAACACAATGAATATTCTGCTGCTGTTTACTCATTACAGTGTTAGAAATCAAAACCCCAAATCCTGTTATTCTTCCTTATGAAACTACTCTCTCAGCTTGTGTCTGTAATTGTAACTTGAAAGGCAGGGTACAGAGCCCGAATGTCAGCCTTTGCTCCTCAACAGGCTTTGCCTTTATTCTCTCCTTCGTCCATTTGCCTTCTTTGTGTGATGCTCCTTCCTTCCTCCCTGCAAACCTTAATTCCTTCAAGGTCCAGTCCAAATCTCTCTCTTCGTGAAGTCTTTATCTGCCCCAGCTCTCACTGGTGCTGCCTGCCTTTAATTTGAGGTCTCTTGCATCTGAATATGACATTTGAACATATTCTCCATTTAAAAAATTCTCCAAGTGTTTCAGGTATCTGTCTATTCTTCTGGCGAGACTGTAAGTTCTCTGGGAGCAGATCTTATTTCATCATATTCCCCATAAAGCTGAGACTAGTAAATAGGATAGTGCCAAATTCAGTGTTTTGAATTTGGACCTTCGACCTCATTTCATGGGGTTCCAGGAGATATTATTTCAGTGGGTTCACTAGATCAAGTGAAATGGGCTCACTTTTCTATAGGGACATGAGTTTGCATAGCAGCCACTTGGACAGGCCTAGTGTCTCTTCTTTCATTTAATCAACTAATGTATCCTGTGCCCTTTTGTGGGCCAGGTGTTATGCTAGACACCAGGGGCATCATGGTGAACAAAACAAACTGACAGTTGAGTGGGGAGAGACAGGCTGTGGGCATAGGGTCAAATATACGTATAATTACACATTGTATGAATGCTGTGAATCAAAGGAACAAAGACTCTGGGGAAAGTGATGGGTGGGGATTTTAGATTGAGTGGGAAGATCTCCCCAAGGAAATGATTTTAAGCTGGAAAAATGAGAAGAGGACAGTTGGGCAAAGAGCTCAGGAAGGGCTTGTCAGGCTAAGTGAACACCATGAGCTGAGTTCCTGAGGCAGGAAGTGGTGTGGTACATTTAAGGAAGAGAAAGGAAACTGGAAGGCTGCAGGGTGGGGGTTCAGGACAGTGGTGGGAGGTGAGCTTAGAGACTGAGCCACATCCTTGCTTGACCTTGTAATGGGAAGGAGGGAGTGATACTCCAAATGCAGCTAGAAGCTCTTCAGGTGGTTTAAGCATACATGTGGCTTATCTAGTTTACACTGACCAAAAGATTATACCATTCGAGACTGTATTGGGGAGAGAAATGCTTGGAAAAGGCACACTCAATTAGGATGCTGTTTTAGTAATCTAAGAAAGCGGTGGTGGCTTGGACTAGAGTAGAGAGAATTTGTTGTGAATTTCAGAAATGTTGAAAGAACCAATAACACTGCGTAGTGGGTGGAAAATGGGGAGGGAGAGAGAGAGAGAGTGATACCAAGACACACTCCCAGGGTTCCCCTTCCTGCAGTGGGGAAGACTGGGACTGGATTCATTATGAGCCTGGCAGGCTGCATTCTGGAGTGTGAGGAACACAAATTTTGGTTTGTGGATTTTAATTATTCAACTCAAATACTTTTTTTTTTTTAAAACTCTCCCTGAGGGCTAAAAGAGATGGGGCTGCAGGCTCACCAGAAAAATGTCTGGATTGGGGTGAGACCTCAGCCAGACAG